GAGCTTAACTACATATAAGAACTCAGCCTATAAATAAGAATGCAGTCGCTGACCTTAGGTAAAGCACGATCTTCGCTAGGCTATCAGTTAGTCGCACAATCTGATCAGAAGACGGAACTTAGTCGGCACAATAAATCGACGTGTTAGATCCGATGGACGAGGCCAGCAGACAGACGACGACAAACAGCACAACACGCGGAGCCGAAACCAGAAGGCGAATCGAAACCCGAAAATGTGTTTATCGGTTGTTGGTTAGTTAAAACAAAACTGTACAATAATAATGGAAATGAGAATAGGAAAGTACAATTGGGAAGAAAGATATGTACAAGCGCTACAGAACTCCCCCTAAAGCGTGAGTCGCTGAGACGAAAGCTCGATACTTGGGTGTCATTTACCCTAGTCTGGGAGGGAGAACAACTGTACGTCGGAAGCGTGTTCGATGATGCGATTTCGAGTTTGTGTCGTGAGGTGCTTGGGGTACGGAAGAGCGAACAGAGGTGTCAGACATGGGCTGAGTAGGAGGAGTACTTGGAAAGGTGGGCTGGTCGGTGACAGGAATGTCTGTGGGTTTCGCTATAGGTCGCGACTCCATGTACGCCGGCTTCAGGCGGTCAATAGTCACAGTATCCTGATAACCATTTCTATGCAGCACGAAGTACTTCTCTTTCCGGGCAACACCCTTGAAGGGGCCCTAGTAAGGCGGTGTCAGCGGTTTACGGACGGAGTCGACGCGCACGAGAACGAAGGGGCAAGTGCGCAAATCCGGGTGTACCTGTTGACTCCGAGGACTGATTCGAGGTGGCGTTGGACGAATTGAACTGAAGTGTTGCTTCAGGCGTGTGACGTACGAGGTCGGATCAACTTCTCCAGTAACCCTTGAGTCTAGCACCATTTCTCCAGGAAGCCTGAGAGTAGTGCCAAAGACCAACTCCGCGGGACAACAGCCAATGTCTTCTTTAATGGTGTTACGAATACCAAGCAAGATAATCGGTAGACGTTCTGACCATTGTGAGTTCGACTGTGAAGCAGTAAGTGCAGCTTTAAGTTGACCATGGAAACGTTCAACGATGCCATTAGCAGCTGGGTGATAGGCAGTTGTCCGTAGGTGGGAACAACCGAGCAAGCGGTTCATGTCACGAAACAGGGCCGAATTGAATTGGGACCCTCTGTCGGTAGTAATAGTGGCTGGCGTGCCAAAGACGGAAATCCAATTCTCAATGAATGTTCTTGCCACCGTTTCTGTAGAAGCATCACATAAAGGCACGGCAAGTGGCCAACGCGTATAACGATCAACACATGTCAATAAGTAGACAAAACCGTTGGATGGAGGCAAGGGTCCAACGATGTCAAGATGAACATGTTTGAAACGAGCGTCGAGAAGAACAAACGTGCCGGAGACGGTAATCGTGTGACGGTGGATCTTGCTGGTTTGGCAAGTGATACAATGTTTGGCCCACTGCTGGATCTCGGAGCGCATGTTGTGCCAAATGAAGCGGTCAGTAATTAGCTTGACGGTGGCTCGGATGCTCGGGTGTGAGATTCTATGCAGGATATCAAAGACGATTCGGCGGTACTGCTGAGGGACAAAAGGCCGGGGCTTGCCAGTAGAAATATCACAGTAAATTTTGGAGTCTGGGTTAAGGATTGGCAATTGTGATATTTTGATCGACGGATTTGATCTCAGTTGCACAAACCCAGGATCTCCTCCCTGATGAACTGCTATGTCTTCTAAGTTAATCTTCTACCGTGAAACTTCGTGAAGACATATACGTGACATGACATCGGCGACAACGTTATTGGCAACATCGACATAGCGAATGTCGGTAGAAAACTGTGAAATATAATCCAAATGACAGATTTCTCTGGGGGAGAAACGGTCGGATGAACCACGGAAAGCAAAGGCAAGTGGTTTATGGTCTGTAAGAATGGTAAACGTGAGATCTTCAAGCAGGTGCCGAAAATGTTTGAAAGCGAGGTAGATAGCTAAAAGTTCTCGACCGAATGTGCTGTATCGCGTGTGTGGTGGCTGGAGTTTACGAGAGAAAAAGGATAGCGGCTCAGGTTGGCTGTTGATTACCTGCTGGAGAACAGCTCCAACGGCGGTCTGAGATGCATCAGCCTTGAGGACCAGAGTGGCGTCAACATCAGTCCTCAAATGACTAAGCGCGGCAGCGTTGAACAACGCGTGCTTGATCTTGTCGAATGCATCAATAGTTTCCTGAGTGGCTTCGAATTTTCGTGACCTGTCTTGAAGCAAATCGGTCAATTGCTGGAGTAGCCCAGAGCAATCTGGTATGAAACGGCCGTAGTAATTTACCATGCCGAGAAAACGACGGAGACTTTTGAAAGATTGAGGCATGGGGTAGTCTGCAATCGTTTGTGTTTTCTCGGGGAGTGTACTAATGCCATTGCAATCAATTCGGTGGCCCAAATAATTAACAGAACTTTGACCAAAAACACATTTGTCAACATTGCTCGTAACGCCGTACTGAGCAAAGCGTTC